TCTTTGGTATATAAAAGCCAAAAACATCTAGAGGTAGGAGAAGAGGATTGAGCTTCGTTTTCATGCGGTAACAAGATGGTGACAACGACTGCAAAAACGGAGCTTTGTTTATGGGTTTATCTTAAACTTGCCAAAAATCTAATACAAACAAAGCTTTGTTAATTTGGATCTTGGCTCTAGAGTCAATCAATGTCATGAGCCAACAAAGGAAGAAGGATAATGTGTAAAAGCAAAGTTGATTTTTAATGTGTAAAAGCAAAGAAGAAGATATCTTTAATCTCAGCCACTAGATTTTAAAAATCTGGTTCCCTTCCTTTCAGGGGTAGATTTGTCCGAAATAACCAACTTTTTGTGCAAAAGTATGAGAAAGTGTGTTTCCCTAAAAAAATATCTTTATATGTTAACTATTCAACATAAAGTGCCTATAGGTGTAATTATCCCTTTTATAAATATATTTATATTAAAACTAGAACCTAATATTTAACATTAGTTTATTTTTCTATTTGTTAAATAGTATTATAATAAAATAATAATTTAATAAAAGAATAATTGTATAAAAAATGTTGTTATAACTTATGACTAGTGTTTATATAATGTTTTAGAATACATATAAATAACTATAATGAAATAATTTATTTAATTTTATATCTAGTTATTCACAGCTCTGTCAATCACTTATGCATATTAATCAGAGCATACTACTCCTGCAACATACTGCTAATGCTAATGCTGCTTCAGGCTACTGCTCTTCTATAAGCCATACCAATCAAGACCTAAATATATTGAATTGCTGAAAATAAACTTCTAATCGAGACAAACTGGGAGAGATAGATAAAAAAAGTGGATTTTGGTTAGTTTTAAATTAAATTTTTTTGTGTGTGTGTGTGATTGGTGTTAATTTCCCATGGCGTATATTGCCTTTTTTGCTATAATTAAAATGAAACTAAAAAAAGATAGATTCAAATCTTTTGGAAAGACATGAAATATCATGGAATAAACCATGTAGTTTGAAAACTTTCGAACCTAACAAAATGGCTCGAACCAGCTGTAAGGATTCAGATTGTACTGAGCATGTCCTTATGCCTACTTCTACTTCCTGTGACAAAATCGCTATGGCTTCAGGTCGAGTCACCAAGGGTTCAACCGTCTTGGCTTTACACTCTTGCCTTAGTTGCCAAACATTGGCACTACTCACAGAAATTAACACTACCAGTGTCATGAAATCGCTGAAAGTAACTACTGTTTTTAACCTTCTTATACTAACAATGGGTTCACGATCCACTAAAATAACATCCTGAAACAAGCCTTCCAAACAATTCTCATACACCAAATCCTGTAAAGCATAACCAGTGGAAGAGATGCTTACTAGGTTCCAAGAAGGAAGTCAGAACACCGGAGAAGAATATCTGGGAGGACCGCTAGCAAGGTCGTCGGAATTCTGCACCACCGCCAATGGATGCTGCGGATTTATTTTCAAAGCAGGAGCTGAAACCAGCGTAAGCTGCTGGGCTTTGATCTCTAAATGTTGGGCCAGGCCCACTTCACCCAAGCAAAGAAGCTCTTTGGACGTTGGTGTCACCAGAGCATACCGGATGAAATACAAGGCCTCGCCAGAGGGATCTTCATGCATCCGTATGGACCATCGTCGCAGGGGAGAAGCAGTCATCGAGATACGATCTCGAGATGATTTCAGCCGAGGACGAGGAGGGTTTGTGGGCTAGGGGGAGCATATTATGGTCGCAGTTGCAGCCGGATCAGGTGTATTCGACGGCTCTGGTGGTTTGGAACGGTTTGGATACACCGAGAAAATTACCACCGGAAGTTGAGAGAGAGACGAGATCGAAGTCGTCGTTCGATCTGGAGACTCCGACCGAGAGCCATCAACTATTAAGAGATTCGAGCTCACCTGAACCATGAGATAGGGGCTAACCATGTATAGGATTGAGATCCGAGAGTGTCCTTCACGATGATTGAGATGAGGTCGGGAGCAATTCTCTCCGAGAAGATCGAGACGGCGGAGAGACGACAAGATGATAGGTTTTGCGGAGAAAAATCTGCTCAGGAGAGAGGTGCCGGCGGCAGAGGACGAGAGACGGAGATCCATTTTGCGATGAACGATGAACCTCCAACGACGGTTTTGGGCCTCGTGCCCGAGAGAACTAGGGCAAACAATTGCTAGTTTTTTAATTGTGTTCCATATTTTTGTACTTCTTATTATGTTCTTCCTTTATTTTTTCCTATACTTTTCAAGAAGTCTTTTGTTCCAATATTTTTTGGGTTCGAATTACATGCTTAATCCTAAAATAAAAACGACTTAAAAATCTATATTAGTTGATAAATATACACGACTTTTTGTCAAGAAAAGAAGAAGTTGTGATTTTTTAAGGTGGATCCAAAACTCTTAACCCAATAGACATTTTTTTTTCCCAATAGACATTTTGCTCAAAGAATAGCTGTTCTAGCCGAAGACCCTATTTTGGAATTCACAACTCTAAAACCTAAATGCCGATCATTGGTTACATGTTTGACTGACTAACGATATATCTACTTCGTAACTTATAACAAATAACTTTTTTTCTTGTAATACGCGACATTTCTTTGTACGAGAGCACGAGAGAATTTTTTTTCTTTAAAATCATCTCTATATATTTTTTTTGGGCTTTTTTGTGAATAACC